TGGTTTCTAAAAAGGACTTCCCAAATGAAAAATATCATCATTTTACAAAATAGGCTAAAACATAATAATGTAAACATGTGAATTTTGACATTTTGGCGAAACCATGTTTTGAAACTTTGCACAATGATTATGTAGACTTAATAAAATATGTATATGATTATTGTTAAGTCCAAAAACTAAGAATACAATATTGTTACAAATACAATAGAAAATGAAACATATGAGTATGTATATGAAAATATATTTGTTTCATATCTAAGTAGTAAAACCAAATCACAATAATAAATATGAAATATGTAATTTCATATTTATAAACATAAAAACCAAAACTTGTGTTGTATATATATATATGACTACATATATATACAATGAAACCAATAAAATGTGTGTGTATATGATATTGAGCTTAGAGTATCTAACACACATAATATAAAACCTAAACTAGATTACCCAAGCCGATCTTGATCTTCAATAAGCTTGACTTGGTACACTATGCGGATGAAGCTGAACTTGGATCTTGAACTTGAATTGTATAAGCTTCACTCCACAATTCCGCCAACCTCCATTGGATATTGTCGTTGAAGCGCTATTCCATCCATCCTCCAACTCGTTGTTTGCCTAGAATAAATACGAAAACACAAACACTAGACAAACAACATTAGAAGTAAATTATTCGTTAAACATCATCAAAACAAAAAGGCCAACACAATGGATTCATTAGGAAGCATCTTAAATAACTCATATTCATGCATAAGCCCACTAATCTTAGATTCCTTAACTTGGGGGGTTCCTTCATGTGTAATACATAATTTCACCCATATTTTGTATGCGGTTGCACACGTAGAAACCCTATTATATTCATTAGGGGGAAAGATCGCAAATTAAGGCGTTCATGGCCTTTGCATTGAGATTGGCTTGGTGCCTTTCTCCATCGGTCATATTCCCGACTTTGAGCTTTTCTACATATTTCTTCTCTATGAGCTCTAGAATGTCAAGATCAATGCAACGAAGGTAAATCCTCATCCTAGCCTTCCAATAAGCAAAATTACTACCAGTGAAAAGGGGTGATCTAGTGGTAGATTGTCCCTCTAACATATGCACATTCATTGAAGCCTCCATAAGATCTTTTCTCTAAGGTGGTTAGACCAAAAACTAATATAAAGACCAAGCTCTGATATCAATTGTTGGACCCTAAGGGGGGGGGGGGGGGGGGTGATTAGGATCTTAAGGCTATAATAGTGCAATAAAAATAAGACAAGCAATAAACCACAAAATAAATAACTATAGCAAATGAGATAGAGTTAGAAATCGTTATCCAAGTGACGCGAGATGTGTTAACGAGGTTCGGCCCACTGACCTACGTCTCCGCTCCCCACTCTCGAGGAGAATCCACTACACAACCCGATTTGGAAGCCGGAACTTTTTCTACACAACGATCTTCACAAGATCTCACAACTACACAGTTGATCACCACAAGATCTAACTCCCACACAGTTGATCTCCACAAGATCAAGCTCACAACAGTAGTAATGGTGTAAAACTCTCTTTTTATAATGTTCCTATAGCAAGGAGAAAGATTACACTGAAGCTGGGATGTGAACTTGAAAAACAGAGAACAGGTTTGAAAGTTTAGGGCTCTTTTGAAAACAGTAAATAAGTTTGCAGGATATTTCAAAATGGACAAGAGCACATGAGAGAAGAGGGGTATGAGAGTTTAAATAGGAGAAAACAAATCAGTTTAAACCCATACCCAAATTCCCCAAAATCTGAAAAAATCGGCGCTGAAATCTGTACCAAAAAGACCGTTTGAGTAAGCGGCGGTCGACCGTACAAATCTCGCGGTCGACCGCTAGCTAGCTTTGAAACTTAGAAAATTTCTAGAGACTTCTGCGGTCGACCATGGCGGTCGATCATGGGAATTTTCGAGCTGACGGTCGATCGTGACAGTCGACCGTGAAAGTTTCTGCTGCCCACTCAGGAAAAGACACAGGCGCGGTCGACCGTGGCGGTCGACCGCAAACTGACACCAGTTATGAAACCTGTTTTTGACTCTATAAAAAATCTATAAAATATTTGAATGACTTCCAAAAATTATGAAACTTAGTAAAATATGTTTAACACTAAAAACAAATTGTTTGGAAAAGGAATTTTATGAAAAGGTCCTCATACTTATGAAAAATGATATTTTGTCAAAACGCTCAAAAATCTAAGTATGAACACGTGTGTGTGATATCCCAATTGCTTCAAATGAAATCTAAGCTACTTGCCTACATTCTAGCACTAGAGAGAAAAAGAAAAACTAGCTAATATCCTCACATAGAATTACAATTCTTTGAGTCTTGATATAGCTTGAGTTGATGAAGCTTCTCATTGCATTTGTTGTTCTTGAATTAACATTGCTTCATCACTATGCCTCTTCCTCCTTTGGATATCATCGTTGTAGCTCATATTCCATCCAATCCTTCATGCATGGTACTAACAAGCTTGATATATATATTAACTACAATATCACTCAATAAGCAATTAGTACCGATAATGATGGTTGTAAAACATCATCAAAACATAAGGGCTAACAAGTATGTTATTAATAAATTAAAATATTATAAATATTTTAATATTATATAATATATTATATTTTTTAATATGTTCGAGTTTATTAATAGTACTTTAATAATATATTAGTATTTATGATATAAATAAATATTATTATATTATGAAAAATATGTTACTATTATATAATATTTTATAATTATTAATTTATTACAATTTATTTATTAAAAAGTTAATATTATTATAGCGATTATAATATTGTGTAGTATATTATTATATTATTATTATATTATTATATATTATCAATAAGTTTTTTATTATTTTTATTAGTTTATTTATATTTTATTATTATTTATTTATCATCTAATACATTATTAACATATTAAATATTAGTATTTAATATGTTATTATATTATTATATAAGATATTTTATTTATTATATTTTTATATTATTTAATAAATATTACTAATATATTAAATTAACTATAATATAGTAGTATAATATAATATAATAAGCATGTTCATAATAACATTATATTAATTACATTTAATATATTATGTTAGATATTATATTAACACCTTCTCAAACTCAAAACCAAAACAACAAACTTAAAACACCTAAAAGGTGTTTTGAAATAAGTGGTCTTTTTGGTTTGAGGATGATTTAGCTCAAAAAACACTGTGGTTTTCAAACACATGGTGTTTTGTTTTTGGTAAAAACACCATGGAAATAAGTAAAACACTATGGTATCCAAATGGAGCCTAATTAATTGATTTGCAACTTAAAAAAAATGGATTATTACATCATCTCCATTAACTTTATATCAATTTGTCTTCACCGACGTCAATGAAGAAGCCCACGGTATATCCTATGTTGTGCACCGTCCTTATGTCAGGATGTATTAAATGCAAGACGTCCTTATGTCAGGGTGCATTAAATGCAAGACGTCTTATATCCCAATTTATTAGGGAGTGATGCTATTTGGCACGCGAGCCCAACGCGCGCAGGAGAGAGTGGGTCCCACACCGTGACCACTCTCTTCTTGCGCGACCGCCATGCGCGTAGCGGCTCACGTGCCAAATAGTATTTTTGTTTGTTAGGGTATCTTTGTTTCGGTAACAAAAACAAAAACAAAACAAAACAAAAAAGAAAAGGAATACGGTACAAGAAACTTTTTCCTTTGGTTTCCATACAAATGTAAATTCTATGTTTGGTTCGGCATGAAAATAGGAAAGCAAAAAAAATAGAAAATATAATATCTTGTTTACTTTGAGCCTAAAAGTAAAAAAGGAGAGGTGGGGAGGGGATACGGTACAAGAAACTTTTTCCTTTGGTTTCCATACAAATGTAAATTTTATGTTTGGTTCGGCATGAAAATAGGAAAGCGAATATAATATCTTGTTTACTTTGAGCCTAAAAGTAAAAAAAAAAAAAAAGGGGGGGATGATTTGTCGGATTTCAATACCAAATCCTCTCCAAAAACAAGAAATTGAACTTTCTTAGAAATGATTTGTTTTCCCCACTTTATAGAATCGATCATCTTTTTTTTTTCCTCTTTAAAACAAGCAATAGAATATGAATCTTACTATGGCATCTCATGCACTTTTATTCCATTTTGTCTTTGCGCGCTTTCCATAAAAATTGGGTGAACCAAACATGCGCGGATTACACAAATTTTAGAAAACACCACTATGTACCATTATGCAAACATATTATTGCCCACACCCTTTTTCATCCACATCCGCATCTGAAAAAGCTATAGTTTGACAAATTTAATATAACCTATATTCAGAATATTTGATTATTTTTCAAGATTATGTGCCAATAGTCCATTTATTGAGATGAATATACTTTATGCTCTTGTGGTGCTGTGATTTTTAATGTTGTGGTTACTCAACTACTGTCAATAAAACACTTTACAGACATAGTTACTCCAACATTTTGGCAACTCAAAATCATGTATTTAATCATAATTAACATTGATATAATACATAAAAGAGAAAATTCATTAGTGCCAGAAAATTACAATGACCGCTTACACCCTTTAAGACCAATTACCTTGCTATGGCAAAAATGTCAAGTTTTTAGTGTCATCCTTCACACGACATCATGACAAAAGCCACAAAATACTACAAAAAGAACTTGTCCTCTTACACCAACAATTTTCAACTAAAGGATATAATTGGTATTTCATAAATATTAACGGAGATATTGGTTGAAAAAGCACATTAGTTATTATAAGTCTACAAGATGATACATAAAGATAGTTTCATGAAACTCCGGTAATTAGGACGCAAGTCAGGAGCAGTCCCCCTCTAAAATCCCTAGTATTAAAAAAGGAAGTTTGGACCCACCCTTAAGAGCCTCCTTGGGAGGCTGTTGCACTTGCTCTTACAAACTAAGAGCCAACCAAACTCCCAGTTAACACAGAACAAAGGAACAGCACGACAACAACAACAAAAAAGAGCACAAGTCTTTGCAACAGAAAAAGTTCAAACACACGACCGTCACAAAAATAATATAAAATTTTAATTACAGCAAGCATCACCCTAGCAAAACAACAGAAAAAAGCTCATCCATGAGAACACTAGAACAGGACTTACAATACAACACTCTAGATTCCTGCAATAAGGTATGTGCCAAGTTGCAACGAAATACTTCAATCCAAATCTTTCCATTTATCAGCGAAGAATTACGCAACAACCGTTGCTTTCTCTCTTGGCCTGGAACCACTCGTTTCAGTTTATCAGAACCTGCCCAAGCAGCAAATAGGATTAATTACATTTAGGTACTCAGGTACTGAGGTCCGTGTATCTACATACGCAGCTCGATTGTATCTACACGAGTAATTCTGAGAAGGAAAAAGTAAACATACTCCAAGGTCACTCGTGTATTTATAATCAGTAATCTCTAGGCTACCTGTGTAAATACACAAACTCTAGGATCACCATGTAATTACACCATACCTCACAAGATACTTAATTGTAACTAATCTCATCATCAAATAATAGTAACAATAAGTTAGCAAATCTCTTCTTTTGTAACATGACTATGTTAACTCTCGCACCAGGCTCAATGGTGCAAACCCAATTGAACTTTACTCATGTATTTAACCCTTTTATTAGATCTTTACGGTCATTAGAGGGGGGAAAAGGAGGCCTACCTTCTATTCTCAGTTTCCTCCGCATAGATATTAAATCTTCTGAATAGTTTGCAATATCAAACAAAGTGTGTCTTGATCATAATAAGTAGAGGACAGATATCTGATCCAAAGTTGTATTTCTAGATCTTCCACTAAGTGGAAATTTGTGATAAATTCCTAGTCAAGTAGAAGGAACTTCACTATCCCAAAAATAATTTAAAGATTTTTTAGGGGTTCATTGATATTCATCCTTATGTCTTTAATATTTTGAAATTAGTCCCTCAAATCATTGAAATTGCTATTACATCCTCCAAATTTTACATGTTGCTTCAAAATTAGTTCCTCAAATCGTTGAAATTGTTACTATATCCTCTAATCTTATACGTTGTTTCAAACCTAGTACTAGTTAGTCCCTCAAATCATCGAAATTGCTATTATATCCCCCAATTCTTATATGTTGTTTCGAACATAGTCTCAACAAGATATTATCCCTCTTTAGTCATTAGTTATTGATCTATGAGCCAAAATGAAATTGACAAAGTAGTTTTGATTGTCATTCTCCCTTAACTTAAATTATCAGGTATTATATGGCTGCAACACCTTACCACATCCAATACAACCCCGCGAAGCAGGAGAATAGTTCTTAATACAATCAAGGGTCAAGTAAGGAGGGATACTATGTCATATTTACAAAATATTTCGGAGTTGAGATATCATGGTAGCATATCCTATTAAGAAAGTAAGAAACAGTGTTGAGCCAAGCACTCTTCTAGTTACTAATCACTTCTGTAAAAAGAGGAAGAAGTTTATTTTGTGAAATTTCACCAAACGTCTGAACTTTGAGTGTATTGCACCAACTCTGTAAATACCATACCCCCCCTGCCCCCCTTTCTGTGGGGTCCCCACACAAAAAACCCACCCAAAATAATAATAATAATAATAACTGTCCCAGTTTGCTAGCATGATTAGTTTATTAAGCTTAGCGTGTTAGGTGCACCCTGCCCTGAGTGACCAAAACTGGACTTTGTTTTTACTGCAGCCACCAAATAAAATTTTGTCCATACCCTTATTTTTCATTGCCTTCTTTTTTTAAAAGGTTACTTGAGGCAGTGTGTTCTATTCTTCAACTTCACTAACGATAATTTCCAAAAGTTCGGTGGTTTTGTGAAACTCCCCAAAGTTCAAATCATTGAAGTTACAAAGTTCAGGAGGATTTTGTGCAATTTTCCCTTTTCTCTCTTTTCCATAACTCTGTGTTGAATAAGACTATTAAAATAGAAAAACAAAATCAGAGATTTGAACCCATTAATCTTTGCTTTATTTTATTGACATCACAAAGTTAAGCATGTTGCGTAAAAAATGACTACAGTAGTAAAAGTTAAAAACTGTGTTCTATATGTTTCAACTTTTTATATACTTCACAATTGTAATTGAAATGTTATATTAAATGCTGGGCGTTTTTAGACGCAGGACTTGGCACCCAGCGCTTAGACGCCTAGGCGGGCGCCTAAGCGGTTTCTGAACGTTTTTTTTTCTTTTTTCTTTTTTTAATTACGATAATTAAAGATAATTATATATACACTCAATCAAAGATGCATAAATACAAATTATAAGTTCATCTCAATAGTGCAAAACTCATTCTCAACTCAAACTTAAGTTTACTGTTTAATTAAACTTAAACTTAAACTTAAGTTTGCTGTTAACTTAAGTTTATTGTTTACTTAAGCTTAAGTTTAGTTTGCTGTTAACAAAAACTAAATATTAACTTGACTTAAACTTAATATTAACAGTAGCTACTTGAAATCGAGAACTATACTGCAAAAGTCACTTCAACTTATGTTTACTTAAACTTAAGTTTACTGTTGTTACTTGTTCGAGAACTATACTGCAAAAGTCACTTCAACTTATGTTTACTTAAACTTAAGTTTACTGTTGTTACTTGTTAATTAACTTAAAATTTATGTTTACTTAAACTTAAGTTTACTGTTGTTACTTGTTAATTAACTTAAAATTCAGTGAATGAGTTTATTGTTATACTTTGTTACACAAAATATAAAGGGTCAAAGATCGGTGAAGCTTTTAGCTGTTGGTGGGACTCGTGGGAGGTCAAAGACGAGGTGGGAGGTTGAGATCGAGATCGGTGAAGCTTGGAGATCGAAGACGAGCTCGGAGATCAACGACGAAAGGCTTAGACGAGATCAATGACAAGACGTGATCGAAGAGGAGGCTGGAGTCTTCGACAAGGGGGCTTCGACGGGTTTCGGCAGTCGACGAGGGCTTCAACGGGGCTTCGGCAGTCAACGTGGCCACAATAGGCTCCGAGAAGCTTCGACGAGGACCGAAATGCTTCGACGAGGAGCAGAACTTCGGATCTTTGACAAGGCTTCGACGAGGAAATGTGGCGGCGTCGGGTGCGAGAACGCGAATTAGGGTTAGTGGTTAGTGTGTTGTTTGAGTTTTTGGGTTCGGTTCGGGTTTGTTTATTTTGTGCCCGCTTTCTTTCTTCTTTTTTTTTTTTTTTTTGATATTCTTCCTTTTTTTTTTTTTTTTTTTTTTTTTTTTGATATTCTTGGGCGGGCCGTTTAAACGGCCTGCATAACGCTGGGCGGCCGCGTAGGCGCTCCCAGCGTCTAAACCTCGCCGCTTAAGGGCTTTTGAGACGCCTTGGGCACCGCCTCCGCCTAGGCGCCCCAGGGCGTTTTTAAAACACTGTGTAATTGATTTATAATTGACGCATTATGTACTCATACTCATAATATGAAAACCCTAAACCAAGTAATAGACAAGAAGCAAAGATGTCTAATATGGGACATGTAACCGTAAAGGACACAACCATCGTGTCATACGACACAAATAACAGTTTAACCAACCTCCATAGCGGAAGAATAAGTGCAATCCAGATTACATTCAAAATAGTTTTAAGTAATGTAGTCTTTGCCAATATTGATTTAAGTTAGTCTACTATAGCAATATAAATATTCAGCATTGCTCAATATTCAACCTTAGTACATTCAGTTTAGCTGGATATTTAGTATTGCTGAATATTTCAAAATTTCAAACTGATAAATCCAATCTGACAATCTGAATATCCTACAATGAGGTCAAATTAGACCAAGTAGGTTAAAATATTGAGAAATACAGCATATCAAACCGAACACTGGTGTGCATGTTGTTTACCAGAGCTAGATGATACTATATTGAACAATGTTGAACTAATCCATATTAAATTGTAAGAAAGCAAAATTGGGAATATTTTGTTCATGCTTACTGCCGGTTAGTTATAAGCACTGGTTTCATTATTCTTGTTCTTTGGTCATCAAAGTGTACCAAATATGTTGGCTCTGTAGCTCGTATTTTGCCACCATTTAGGGTTTCATGTTACAAGTAGACATAAGCAATAGTAGCAGATATTATTGACTGATAAGAAGCTAGTAATGATTCACAAATGACGTTAGGCAGTTTAACTCATGACTTTAAGGCACAAAAATCAGATAATCACCTAAGCTGTTGCAATTCTCCCCTGCTCATCGACTGAGACATTAAAACCTGGAGGAATGAAGACGACGTCATCCCACTTTGATACGGAATTATCCTGTATTTTGCATAGTTAATAATGAAATCTTTCAATAATCTTATAAGTCAGACAACAGACGAAGTCAACACCTTCATCGAATTGATTATGTCCTCCAAAATCGAAACCTAAAAGAAAGAAATAAACATCACACACAATTTTCCATAAATACTTAAAATCTAAGCGAATCACATAATACCTGAATGTCCCCCCTCCTGAATGCAGGATTTAATTGATTCTGCTGACGAGAAGCCCTATGAAGTGACTCTTCAAGATCCTCCTTTACAGATACGTAACAGTTAGGCTACAGATAGAATTACTGATTGTAGATGATAAAGTATATAGAACCTTTTCACGAACCTTTCTGAAGAAAACTGGGCGATATCTCCTATTCTGGCTCCTCAAAACCAAGCTCCTTGACTGAAATCTCCAAGAGAGTGGACTATCAGTAAGATTATTTTGAAATTACAACCCACAATGAACCTATCTAGCATACAATTCAGCAAGCATGGATGACCTTAGACATTGAAAGGAAAATGGGTACTTTCAAACTGAGTCAGAACATGATGACCATAATGATGACAGGGCTACTAATATGATAAGATTTACAGATAGAAAGCGGCATTGATCCTCCCACAGTGCGAGGAAGAGAATGCAAGAATGCCAGCCTCATTGAGAAGACTAGCTAAGAAGCCTTTTCAATCAACGATGGTGGTGCATCAGTGATAAGATTAATCTGAATAAAAGCTGATTTGGATATCATATATTGTGATTTGATCTTCAAATAATCTGTTAGGATATTGTGAAATATATGCTTTAGTTCAAATCTCATGAATTGACTGAAGAAATATGACACAGAGGACCATGTCTGAAATGAGATTATAATCAAAGCCTTAAAAATTAGCAAACACATAGAATTATTCTATAATTCAACCAACTGAACTTAAACAACTGGATTGTAACATGACAGTTAACATAAAACTTAGGAAGGTTTAATAATAAAAGGCAAGACAAAATTTGCTTGCCACACCATGACTACAATTTACAAAATCTGGCGGTGCTTGGCACTATATACACTACACTTGGATACATGTATCCTATGAGTCACATGTAATAGAAGAAGGAAACCAGGATATCCTTCTATTTGAAAACAGAAAGAACATAGAAATGAAAACCAAGGTACAAACTCCAGAGTGTTAACAAATATTATTTTAGTTTACAGTCATCCAGACCCTCAAAAATGTCATGAGATGGTGGTACATTGATCACATTGTTCCTCTATATAATCAATACACCCATGTGAGTATGCACACGGATGCACACATGCATGTACACATATTGTGAAAATAGATTATCTGCGTCATACCTTATCTGCGTCTCTATCTTCTTCTGTTTAAGGGTTGCCCCCATCAACACTCTACAAAATTTGGATACTTGACAGTTGACACCCATTCCCATTTCCCACATCCCATGTCCATGTCGCATTGGTGTTTGTTGCTCATATTAATCCGAAAAAAGTAATATACAATACTACCTAGTTTCTAATAGTTTAAAAATTCAATATAAGAAAAAAATCAATAGCTATGAGTATCAAAGTTCCCAAGTTTCCACAACAACATCTAACAATTAACAAGCATCATGGTAAGTAGGAGAAAAGAATCAATAGCTATCAAAGTTAAAGAACAGGTTTCATTCAGAAATTCAGTCTTTCTTTAATGCAAATTTATTGGAGTCTTTCTTTCGCAAACGTGTTCCGAGATATGCATGAGAACCAACAAAGCTTTGGATATACAACATGGGGTTTGCTTTTAGTGCCACTAGTATAGTGTACATGCATTGCACGTAGTCATATTTGTCATTAGACAAAAAATTATTAAAAAATTATTTTAATACATATTGATTTATTAATTTGACAATTAAATATTATTATTGAAATTGTTAGTTCAAGAAAAATTTAAATTAATAGTTTTAGTTTCGATTACTATTAGTTTATTAGCATTAGTTTTAGTAAATTATTACTTCTAATGAATATTAATTCAATTTTGGAAGTCTTTTTTTACTTTTCTACACATTTTATGAGTTCTGGGAACTTATCTACAAAATTTGCAATTTTCTGGCAATTTTTTATCTTTTCTGTAAATTATGTGAATTCTAAGGATTTTGCTGCAAAATCTGCAATTTTTTAGGGTTCTATTAGAAATACCTACATCAATGGGGTTCTTTTTGCAAATATGAAAATTTAGGTTAATATGATGTTTGTCATCTTATATGTGTTATTTGTTTAGGCCCGACTAAAATGGGTTGTTTTAGTTATGTGCTTCCTTAACTGGGTCAGTTTGGTATTGTTTATTTTGTTGTATTGTTTTCACTTTTCATTTCTTAGCATTGAGCTAGCCTGGACTGGGGCTAGATGGAATCTTCGTTTTAATATTTTTATTGTGTGTCTGTCAATTTGTATTTTTCTGATGCATTTTTGGGACAATTAAATTAAGCAATTTTCCACATAAGTAATCAACATTTCTTGAATTGCTCAGACTTATTATCATAGTTAAAGTTTACAGGTCTTTGCCTCACATTGGAAAACAATAAACAAAAGACTTCTAGTTATTTATTAATCCACTAAATTTTACACAAGAAAATATTTTTTAAACTAACTCTAAAATCTAAAATTATTCCTAATAAATTATCAAGTCACACTCGGCCTACATCACCACTCAAAATTTTAAACCATTCAAGAGAACATGTCTAATAATGTCCATAAACATTTGAACTCATAAACTTTCAGCATTCCTTGAATTATATAGAGATTGTAAGTCTAATACGGATTAGGAAGGATACATGAGTATGATCACCATAACAATTCTCATATTCCATATTAAGATATTTTGTGCCACCATGTCGAAGCTAACCAACACTCTCCACAACCTGCAATACAGTACACTTGCCTGCATCTATAAGAAACCATCGCCCATGACTCCCGCCATTTGCTTGGTGGAAGGAGTTGATTTTCTTTTGAGCTTCTTAATGAATTAGGTTTCTCACTTTTGTTGGAATTTTGTTCGTAGAATTTCTCAAGTTGAAGGTTGGAGATAGTCAGATTGTAAATGGGTGTGTGGAAGATTGGATAGGAATGAATTTACATCGAGAAGAGTTAGGGGATATTTTGGTTCTCTTCTCAGCCCATTCTCTCTGGTGGAAGTGAGTGGGTTTAATAGAGGTAAGAGTGAATTGGAAGGTCATAAAAACTGAAGGGTAAATAATGAATAGTTAGTGTGAGTAAATGGATATAGGAGAGGTGGATGAATAATGGAGGTAAGTGTAACGTTAGCAATGAAGGCTAATCTATTAGTGGATCACCATAAATTTGATAGACTTGTTATAGCACCATTTTCATCATGCTATTTGCATATTTATTTATCATCATCGTCGTCATCACCATGTTATCATCATCATCATCATTATTTATTTGACTATAATCATGACATTTATATTGAGTATATGTGTGTGTTAATATAAGTATGTATGGATCTGTCAGAGGGCATTTTCAGAAAAAATGTTTTCACATGCTACACACTTTCAGAATGACATTAGATATTAGATTAGATTAGATTAGATAGATTAGATTAGATTAGATTAAAAGTAATTAATTTCTCAACATTGCTAGAGGGCTTATGCACTCTGTGGCAATTCTCACAATGGTCTCACATATGAATTGCTACTATGTCATTTGATAAAATGAAGAATCTAATCCAATTTGGATCAGATTCTGATATATGTTCTAATTGTCATTCTAGCAAGTTTCCATCAATGTCAGCCATGATATACAAGTTTTTGAATGATAGTTTTTTTTTATTGAATTTCACAAAGTGGCCCTGAGAAGCCTATGTATGGTGCTTTATTCTGAGAAGGCTCATGAGCAAGAAAGGTTTCTAATAAACCTGGATAGCAAGAAGCAATTGTAGAAACCCACCATATGGGTCAACAGTTTACACACATAAAACAAACGGACAATCCTCAAGTAAATTTGGACAACGATAAAGAATCTATCCATGGACAATACAAGCCAAAAGCTAAATCAATTCCAGTGTCTAAACATCCCCATGGTTAAGAACCTACTAACAGTATTATGAAGACATGAAAATTGGCCTTAGAATAGAAGGATAATGTACCTTTAATGGAATTTGTTCCATTAAACTGTGATACATCGCAGTTCTTTTGCTACAGTTCGTATCTTTATGGATTTGCACAACTTCTTTATTCTGTTTCCTCTTCTATAGCTCTTGATGGAACTAACCATTCATAGGAAAAGTGAATTGCAAGAATTCAGTCATTTACTACGAGTCTATAACCAATGTGAAAAAAAAATCAGCTTCAGGAAACTGAGATGTAATCTGTCCTAACAAATCTTAGTCAATATTTCTCAGAAGAAATGTCTAGTAACTGCTGAATAGTTGCATAAACCAAAAGATACAAGCAGCATTGTGTATAACCCAAATTAAAGCTCTGTGCTCCTCTCAGGCCGAAATACTGCACGTTATGTACATCATTAATCTTCGATCATGTCCAATTTCAGTGGGAAAATATCAATAATTCAAACCTTGTAGCCCACCCACCCCCACCGCCCACCCACCCCCAACACAAACACAATAAAGAATAAATAAATAAAATAAGGCACTGGCAATTTCAAGCATGTCTTAATCTATGCAAGGTTGAAAATAATGGACCTCTTTACCCCCAGTAAAACTTTGCAATCCTCAACTAGGATGCACTCATCATGAGGAATAGTAGTGTTATAAATTTATTATGAAAAGTTTTCAATTGTAGTTGGAAAAGCAAAGACCCGAAAACAAAAACCTCACACGAATTCCCGACCCATAGTGTAGAAGATATGAGAGAAATGCTTCGGATTTGTCGATTGCATAAATATTTAACCAGATCTTTTATTTTAAAATGAGCAATGTCTTTTCTAAAATATGTATTAAGTAGGAATGTATGATTTCCCCTTGTTCTATATCACCCTCTTTGAAAGATCTTCCTTCATTTGCAAGTTTAAATGACACGGGAGAAAAAGGTCCTCCCCATTTCCTCATCTCTTATGTCTAAACTTGAATTTCAAATGCTAACAAGAAACTCATCCTTCATAAAGTGAAAAATGTAAAATAAACATTAAACATAGAGTTGTTTAGAGAATTCATCGTAAATAGACGGCTTGTACTCTCCATTCTAAAGTACACATTAAGATAATAAGGAAATATATGTCTGGCAACCAAAATGCAAATAAATTATATAAATTATACATATGGAAGAACACGAAATAAACCAAACATATGCTAGAATGATCATGAAAAAGAGCCCCTTGCAAATACTTGGCCTAAAGAACAGCAAGTACAGAATAAGAGAGTAGCACAAAGCTAAAGCTGTATATATAAGTGAGCAAAAACTCTACCCAAAGAAGGAAAAATGCATTGCAATTAAGCACAAAAAAAGGAGATGTTCAAGACTGCTTCTCAAAAGTACGTCCAAAACCATGAAGGAAATTAAAGATATGGTGACAACTTATTTCTCTACAAGCAAATTATAGGACATCCTCTAATAATGCCAAATCACCATGAGCAATTTCAACTGATTATGCGAACCAGAAAGCCAGAAATCATCAATCAGACGTAGCATTAGTGAAATACATATTTATTCTATGAGATCTGATGCAATAAATTATAAATTGAATGAGGTGAGAACCTGAAAAACTGGTACTCCAGGGAAATCCTCAACAGTATCACCAATCTTCTCCTTTTCCTGTGTAACGAAAATTTCATCATTCAAAAGACGGATATAACTGAAAGTCCGCTCAAATTCAAGAAAACAACATGTGTGAGGGTTTCATGTGTGTATGTATGTGAAAATTTGCATAATTAAAACGGTTATGGTGGCTATTTTGTGCGGTTGAAATATTTTATAACTAAAGCAGGTATAGATGACTAACTAACTTTTTCCTTAATCTGGATTATGCAACAAAGACACAGACGATACATCCTATTGCAATGTAGTAGTCTAGTAGAAATCCACTTTTGAAACAAAAGCATATGCAAAACTCCATTTGAAACTTAATACACTTGATTCTATCTCACCATGTTTATGGTTCAAACAGAATAAATTACAAACCTAGATGACCCAACATGCAATTAAAACAGGAGTACACAGATTTTCTTTATCTGACGCCTGAACCTTTTATTTTCCTTTTTTTGACATGTTTATTTGTTTCTTCCTTTTCTTCCTGCCTTCCTTTCTTTCTTCTTCTTTGTTTGTGCTGCTATGAAGGTAGATGAAAATCACACTTCCAGTGAGAATATGAGGTTCATCCAGAGTTTCAACTTGAAGCTTGTGCAGATAGACAGGAATATCATATATCATTGCAGCAAGGTCATTGATGATTGCAGGTCAATTCTAATGGATGCTACTGATATGTCTGAAAAAAACATGGAAGGTAATGGAGTTCTTCCTAGAATTTATGGTTGTTTGATTCTTACTGAACTCATTGAGTTATCTCTTATGTTCAAAGTAATCAGCAAGTTTACCTTTGGAAAACACTTTCCATTTCCCCACAATTTTTCCTATAAAATCAGAAACAGTTTACCTGTAGTCAATTAAACACCTTCTAACGGCCGTAATGAAATATTCCCCAAAATGATTGCGACGATGAACACTCAAGGAAATGCAAGGCAATCCTCAAAGTAAACTGAGGCACGCTCAGACCAGCCAGAAAATCTTTATATTATGTATTCACCTCAAATCATGTAAATCCTTTTGAGAAAAAAAATTAACACAATTAATAAATACATATCATTTGCTCGAGTATTAGATGCTATTATTATGAAATTATACAATCCTATTGTACGCTCTTCATCTTGTTACCTTCTTGCCTACCCTATCTAACCCTTTCAAGCTTTCCATTCCACCACCAATCGCCCGTCTGAACAAAAACTTGATCCACAGAATCTCCCACCCCATCCAAACCTGATGAGATTGGATCCATCACAACCACTAAAGCCATGCTAGGTTATGGCTGAGTGAAGGAATTTACAAGTTAGTTCAGGTTAGGACTGATCCTCAACTCAACTGCACTGTAGTTGCAACCCTAAGGCAAAGGAGTTTCCTGACTGAAAAAGAACTCAATCCGTTTCCATGTACTTAACAATTATCATAACCACAATTAAGAATTAACAACCTTACCATGTCTTTCTAAGAAGTCTTATTTAGTACTTTAACTCCCTTTATTAATGAAAAAATAAAATAAAAGAGAATACTAGAAAGATATCAGCCAAGGAAAAAAAAAGTAGAGGATTTACATCAAAAGTTTCAACAGGATCAGAAATGATATATATTAACTACTAATGATACACTATATATATATATATATATATATATATATATATCTTCATCTTGCAGCAACACGTGCTCAAAGACAACAGGGCAAACATGGATGCTGATACCTTAACAGTGTTTTAAACATAAAAAAACATAGTTGATACAGGAACATACATGACAGGTTTTTCTTGGTGTAAATTACCTAGTATCATAGTGATAGGGAACATTCCCAATTAAGATGATAAAAATAGGTGAACCTTAGGGTTAACTCAAATGAATAACAAGTTTACATATATATTATATAGTTCTAACTTCTAACTAATGCGCAAAAGAACAGTTTATGCATTTCCAAGCATCCAAATACCCCATTAATAAATGCCGCGGAACAAACATTTCTTAGATGCATCACATTATCAGTATTGTATCATGACCAAAGGATTTAGATCAATTTATGCAAAAAGGATGCTTTTGCAAAGCACAATAATTTCAGGAAAAATTCTTCAATGACCCAAAATATGGGACCAATAGGGGGGACAAGTGATGTGTCCCCCTCCTATTGGATAATGAGTTGGCCATCATTAATGATGACCAACTCATTATCCAATAAGAGGGGGACACCTCACTTGTCCCCTTTATTGGTCCCATATTTTGGGTCCCTGTAGCAAAGCTCTAATTTCAGATTCCATTGGTGGAAGTATAGTATAAGCAACTGGCTCTAAGGGCTGCCAGAGCACTCACCTTAATGGCGTTTGCAACCTGATGAGTATCAGGAATAAGCCTAAAAGCGACCCCATCAACTTTAAGTTGGAATACCTGCAACCACATCAAAGGGGGTGAAAGAAGATAAGGCAAACCAAGCATATTGAAAATACGAACAAAATAAATTAAAAAGAGATAGAAATAAAAGGAACGAAACACAAATGAGCAACTACAACAAAGGCCGCATATTGGATCAGTTTCAAGCTTTTAGACCAACAATGAACACAAATGAGCAAAGTAGCAAATGCATTAGGAAATGTGGCAATGGCTTCAAATTCAATAACTTCTCAGATTCAGAAAAGGGTTTCACAACAACTAAGTGCAACTTTTTTCAAGATTACCAAGATTTCCATGCTTTATTCTTTTCAGAATTTGATATACATGTCTAAGCATGATATAAATAGATTACATAATGAATTGTCCTAGGAAAGGAACGGATGGTTAGCTATGATAAATGAGTCAATCCATATACATTGAATATTCTGGTTCTTTCAAGGAAACTGATCCGCTTCTAAGATCCAGACCTTCCAAATAAAATTAGAATATCTGATCAAGGGACCATCACCCAGATGAGGCTGGATTCAAATCAAATGGATGAAGGGCATGGACAGAAAATGGAGGCGGTAATAAATATCATTATAATATGAAGTAGTAACATAGAACAAATAGAGACTAACATGAACAAGCAGATCAAGGTCGGTATGAGCTTAAGTCGGTATGAGCTTAAGTATTTGATGTTCATTGTACATTCGTATCTAGACTCCCATGTCTCCAAAGACTGGTGTAGACAGGGATATACGGGAAATACACTCAAGCAAGCAGTACTTCTATTATGAAGTAAACTAATTACTAATAAAAATCAGGGTTATTTGCGGATAGACTCTTTGTAGTTCTATTGGTGCTGATAGACGGCCCATATTATTTGTGTGGATAGACCCTTGAGTGTTTTTTACTCTTAAAAGAGAAAAAAGAGTTCACTCAGTGGGTCTGTCTGCACCAACAGAACTACAGGGAGTCTATCCGAACTTTGGCTTAGTACAAAGGGCCTATCAGCAATTAACAATAACAATTATCACTTACGTAATCCACATACCTACTTGAGTGCACTATTTAAAGAAATCTAACAAAAGTAAACTGAACTTACGACTTATCTTTGTCCGTTGGGAAATTGATTTCATTTAAGAAAGTGATAGCAGGTGGTAATAGAGCAAATAAACTATATTTACAAAACTAATTAATCTCAGAATCCCAAAAACTGTAGGACCTCATCACTACTTATGATAAGAAAACAATTCTATACATCAGACCCTCTATTTTAGTATTCGCAACAATGTCAATATAAACATAAAGCATATAGGGAGAAAGGCAGATACTCAGGAATTGTAAAGTATATGTGGAAAGAGGTATTATAAGCTTGTTTCCTCTTTCAATAGACGAGGTAGTCCAAAACCATCCTACATTCATGTCTTGTTTTAGAATTAAAAAGAGTTAGTTTATCGACCATATAATATTTTCTTGGAACTAAATCACGGAACTTGCCGTTGAACTTCAGAATATTAATAAGACAACAATGACCAATATATAGCTGAAATCATACAAATTTTAACAGCTGCAGATATTTTCAGTGACAAGTACTGAAATTGCGAAACACAACCACTTGAATGCATAATCCTTAAGTATTTTAAAGTCATGACTCCAACGCAACGCAACCAATTGCAAAGGTTCAGAATTGTAACATTGATAGATATCTGGTTGAAATTATACACATTTCTAATATATGCAAATTTCTAATAACTCAAGATATTTCCAACGTAGATTACTGACATTGGGAAACGCAACCAATTAACTGAAAAACGCATTATTCAAAGTCACAGAAACTAATAAAAATGGTTCAAAAACTTCGTCTGCGTCAGACAGACTGAGAAGTAAGTCGGACACAGAAAACTAAGATACTAAAAAGCTCACATTTCTCAACCCAGTAAGCCACAAACTAAATTCATGCTTACCACACCTAGATTAACAATTTATTTTCAAAATACATTTAACTAGCTCTAATATATGATTCATACATTCATAATTCAAACTACGTGCCACATAACACATTGTTTCCATTCAATTATCTTTAAAAAAAGATTTTAAAGATACATAAAAATGTTAACAATCGAGATACCAAAAAGGAAATGATCCCATTTCTATTGCACACCCAAGATACCCTTCTTGAAGAAGATAAATCTGTGCAATTCTGATACTAAATTTTGCAATTTTACACAAAAATCATGAAATTCATTTGTTAACAATTGAGATACCAAAAAAGCATAATAACATTTGGTGGCGGATTTATGTATATTTTAGGGGTGAAGTTGCATGCCTAAAAATTTTAAATTTGCATCTAGAAATTGTTATAATGTTTACAATTAACTCCCCCCATAAACTTTTAAAATTGCACCCCAAGACCAAAGCTATCTAAAAATACTTTAAAAAATAGTAACAATTTCGAATTAGCCCATTGGAAAGTAGAAGCCCACTTGAAATCCCATCAATAAAGAGTATCCATATGCATTTCCATCGGGGAACTATAGTCTTATAATATTTTATTTTTAGTTTTAGGTAAATAGACACTTGTTCTCCGCTCCACTAAGGATAATTTTCTGCATCCGCCACTGATAACACTGCCCGAAAAAACTTTAAGAATCAATCTTTTTCCCCTTGCATTCAAAAAGTTCCACCTGAAAGCTGGGGCAAGTTCTTTTATAGGGTTTTGTCAGGAAAGAGAACATGGGGAAATGGAAAAAAAAATTAATAGAAGAGTTTTGTTTTACGTATTTACTGACAGAAAGAGGTTTAAAAATGGCATTGCAGTATGTGGATCTTGTTCATAAGTCGGGTGTTTTTCTCTGAATTCCAAATTCCATCGTTGTTTCATGCAAATCATCCCAAAGTTCAGGGGGTTTTCCTGAAATTACTAAACTTTGCATGTCAATTTGTCGACGATTTACACACCAAAAAGCAACATAATTTCAAAAAAAAAAAAACATTCTTTCTCACCTTGTTGAGGGCCACAGGAACAACTCTCGACCCCTCCCGCATCTCTCGACTCACCGACCTCATCTGATCAAGAAGCGCCTCAGCATCCTCCCTCTTGAAACAGAAAAGCCCTAGCGATTTCCCCGTCCTCGCCCCCGACACCAGCACGAACTCCTCGGCCGCGTTGCTGAGCGCGTAGACGGGGCTCTCCTCGATCTCCGGCGTCGACATCGCCAGGTCGAACCTGTGGGTCTCAGAGCTCGGCAGGGAGATGTGGGCCCATGGGAGTTGAGTTCGGGGCCTTAGGGTTGACTGGAGGAATTGGGTTGCTTGGGCCTTGAGGTTTTGGACGAAGGAGGTGAAGGGGTTTGGTTGCTGACTGGGATTTAGAAATGGAAACTGCATCTTGTTGTGAGCGGAGAGAGCTAGGGTTTAGGGTTTTTCGGGGGGATAAAATGAGCAGTTTTTTTGGCGGTAGATGATAAAATGGAAGTAAGGTTGATCAGCCGTAAGGAGGTGCAAGTGGGTCGGGTTTGAGTTTGCGTTTAAAACCGAAACCCGTTAACGCGAAAATGGTAAAACTCCTCCGCCAGAACATCGTACCAAGTACGACCCGTACATATATATTCGGAGATCAGGAGAGCGAGCGAGAGAGAGGAGGAGAAGACGGCAGAGAGGAATCCGATGGCGAAACTCTGCATTTTCACCGCATTAATCGCTGCTGTAATCTTGTTGGGTATTGTAGAATCTTTTTCCTAATTGACCTAAAACTAGATCTATTTATATATAATTTCATGGATATTAAATTTGCATTTTGATCTCTTCTTTTTTTCCCCCTCTCAATTGTTAACCATGAAGTTTCTGCAAAGAATTCGGGAGATGTTACGCAACTCCAGATCGGCGTTAAGGTGATAAATTCGTTGTATAATTTGAAACTCCGATAAAAATTGGGTTTTTCTTAGATCTGTTAAAGTGTCGATCATTTCTTTATGATTTTGAAGTAAGAATTAGGGTTATGGCGGGCAGTAGTTTTGTTGGGCTGGATCTGAGCCTGATGATTACTCCCAATGCTGAATAGTTGAGTATTTAATTGAAGCAGGATTTGTGCCAAGTAGAATCTTGCTATTATTCCTTTCCAGATTTTTTTTTTGAGTATTTAATTGAAGCAGGATTTGTGCCAAGTAGAATCTTGCTATTATTCCTTTCCAGATTTTTTTTTTCCTAATGCAATTTTCGGATTGAGGGGAATTAAAGCGAAGGGGCAATAGGTGAAAATTTCACCTTGGTGGGCAGGTAAATTTTTTGGAGGGGACTGAGGCCCCCCTACTCTCTCTTCCCTTCCTTTCCCTATTCAATTGCAAGTTCCATAGGATGGAAAAGTCCGGATTTGGGTCCATTGACAACTTGGGTGACATAACATAGCCAAAAAGAGATACTCATTGTCTCTTGATAAGTATTTAATGGGGAAATTTTGCAAAATAGACCATTTTTATGAAATATATAGTGAAATAGATCACTTTGAAAAATAATTAGCAAAATAGACCTCTTTTGAAAAAAAAGGTCGATTTTGAAAAACAATGCTTAGAAAACATACGGGACTACTAGTCCCGTATGTTTAGAGCCAACTAATCACGGATTAGTGATTCAGAAAACATACGGGACTAGTAGTCCCGTATGTTTTCTGAGTAGAAAATTTCATTAATCCGTGATTAAAACATACGGGACTACTAGTCCCGTATGTTTTCTGAGCTGTTTTGCAAAATAGACATCTTTTTGACCTGTTGGTCAAAAAAATGTCTATTTTGCTAATTATTTAGCAAAACGGTCTATTTTGTTAAATAATTAGCAAAAACGGTCTATTTTACAATTTTTCCCGTATTTAATGTATTGGTTAACAGATGATTTATAAGTTATAGTCTACAAAGAAATATAATCAATCACTTCCCTTATTACACTAGGGTAGCTTAACGTATCTGAAGGGCATATAAACCAACATATATAAACCAAAGAAATAAAAACGATCTGTGTGAGCACGGCCATAATACTTGTAAGAATCATATTAATGTCTTGACTTTATATGTACAACTAACACTGTTATAAATAGCGGTAAATAGCCTCGTAATAGCGGCGCTAATAGCGTTAGCGGTCCCTTCCCGCGACGCTATCGTCCGCTACGCTATCATGCAATAGCAGTGACATATTGCGGAATATGTCTATTCGCAAAAGCGATCAATAGTGTGTCATAACGGTAAATTGTGAGCGGTTGCATTCAAAATTTGCTTTTTGACTGCTATTTAAAAGCGGTTTGAGGCTTATTTTTTAAAAATTAAACTCAACACTTGACCATTGTATTCCACCGTCTCCTGTGATTTTCAGCATACTCCCGTCACCTCTCATAGCCTCTGGTACCTACCTTGATACTTCCTCTCACCTCCTTCACCATGAACTCCTCTTAGGGCAGTCCTGTCACCGCTAAGCTCTTCTTCTCGAATTTTGACTCCTCCAATCATATTCGGTATTACGTGATTGTTACATGTCTATTTCATGTTTAGGATCTCTTTAAATCATCCAATATGTACTTACGTGATTGTTACATGTCTATTTCATGTTTAGGATCTCTTTAAATCATCCAATATGTACTTTTAGATTTCTTAGATTTTTTTTTAATTTTTTTTAGTATTTATACATATCTAAATTAGGCCGCTATTTGACTTTACGTTTTTTACCGTTATTTTATCGCAATAGCCCGAAATAGCCTTAGCGATGCCTCACCGCTACGCGACGCTCTCCGCTATCGATAACCTTGACAACTAATCAGCATTACCGTCAGGCCCTTTGAAGGAAATCTCGTGCTTATTACATGCAAAATACGCAACGGAAGACTGTATGTATAATAATACTAAGCATGTAGAGAGCATGAAATACAAAATAGGACCATCCTAATTAAATCTAACATGATCCCTATAATAAAGAGAGCATACAAGAGTTAGAAAGTCGTACTTTCGAAGCGTGATTCGATGGAAGATCGAACAACCCCTAGCTCTTGCTCCTTGTGGAAGTAAATCTCTTCGTAGTGGATCTCCAAGTCTTCAAGTGAGCTTGATAAAATCGGAGTCTTCTTGAGACACAAGGTAAGATATCCACCCCGGGGTATTTTAAAATCCTACTTCCTCTTACTCAAAGATTGCTAGAGTTTAGTAAGAAGTAGATCTCTCTTCTTTTCTTTTATGGAAAGTAACTATGAATAAACCATTTATTTTATTTTTTCATTAACCATGAAAGAAGAAAGAGAGCTCATATTTATAGAGAAAGAATATGTCATGACATGAATGACTCATTCCATGAGTCACATCATGAGTCATCAAAACAATGATTCTCTCATGAGTCATGCAATGACTCATCTCATGAGTCATGCAATGTATCATGAAGAATCAAAACTATGTGCTAAAACCATGTTCCCAAACCATACCACCTTAATGACTTATCTCATGACTCATTAATCAAGGTATAATGAAGTGCGTATTTCATAAATAAAAATACCACATCAATACGGTATTTCATAAATACGATATTTTGTAACTTTACAATCATTGACCAATAAGTCATCATATGACCAAACAAGTCAATGAGTTGACCAAAAGTCAACTGTTGACAAAAAAGTCAACTAGTTGACTAAAAGTTAACTTTATGGAAAAAAATACTGGAATTCATTTCCTAAGCACATAGCATTCCGATTTTACCGATATACATAACCGTTTATGTGTATCCGGTATAATCATATATGCGTATTAATCATACGCATCACTCTATAAATAGTATTTTATAAGATTTAAGTACGCGCTTGGTGTGACTCTAGGGCCCAATTTAAGAACTCAGCAGTGGATGATATCCACAAGTACAACAGAGATACTAGCTACACATGAAGACTACCCGGGTATAAGTTATGATAAATGTATGTAAGATGCTAACACAATTTTATCAAGATCACTCAGTGATAATATTGTACAGTCCGGTCTTTTCGTCAAATCATGTCAAACTATCGAGCCTAGGGTATGAAAAATTATCAAATCCTAATAGCTCGATTAGTGTTTGTTGATATTAAACTCATAACCTATAAGATCAAACTGACACTCGGTTTATCTTATTTACCTCGGCTAAGGATTTCCTGGCTATAGTTATATCAAACAATCTTATGACATCAACCCCTTATACTGGGAGAGACGAATCCCATCTTGGCATCTCAATATCTACTTATGTCTCGGGATGCACTCAATAAGAACCGTTATGCACAACTCAATGAGAACTGTGGTTAGGTAAAAGTCTAAGTGCACTTATACTGACATGTAAGATATTGCACTCATACCTCAGGTCATGAGATTACTTTGTACTATATCACTTGAGAACTTCTGTTTGACAGTTAAGTATAATTACCAACTAGATGTTCTCGGTGAGTCATTCAGTCAACTCATTCACTAATGAGTCACCTATATACTGTATCTTGATGTCTTACATCAATGATCTAAGAGATGGATCATCATCCTTCCAAAGGAGAAATAGGTCGCTTCGCCTCTCGTGCCCAATCCGATCTGTCGGTTCGGGGTTTCGAGAGCAGCCTTTAATGGCGTCAAGTTCGAAGCGTCGCAGGGCGTTTGGGCCGCTCGATCGCTTGGGGTGATGAATCTCCACCGTTAAATTTTTCGGAATATATACTTGCACTTGCTCTTCATTACGATCATATCCGAAATGTCTGATAGTCAAGTATCATTCTAAGGACTTTATCTGTATTAAAATACCAGATAAATCTGACCAAAATAGCATACTACCATTTTGAACAAGGATGTTATATTCATATAGGTCCTATTACAATATATAATTATTGTCTGCAGGGCACCTATACCTAACACCCTTACGGTTTTTTTTTATTTAAAGCAGATTAACCGGATGGTGTAACATAAATTATTGCATCATATGACTTTTTCAAGAGGATCTTGGTCCACAAATTTATATTTATGAAGATGGGAGCATATCATCCTCAAAAGTAGTTGTCTTGTTTATGTACTGCCTTGATTTGAAGCATATCTTATATAATAAAATTGAACATGCAGAGCAGTGTCAAATTCATATTGAGTTCTAATGAATATCTGTAATCTAGACATATGAAGTGACTGGAATCCATTCCCGTGTTTGATTTTTCCAAATGTGCACTTATCCTTTGTTAAATACATGACAGTACGTGCAGCAGCATAAAATATTCGTTTATGATTTGATTCCTGCGTTTTTCTCCTGTGAAATATGTTTATCTGCTTTGTCTTTCTATTCACCTGTAAGTCCAAATGCAGATGCTCATAGTACTAAGGCTTTCAGGAAGTTTTCAGCCCATAACCTATTGATAACAATATATTACACGCGCATGAAATATTTGTGTTTATTATCTTTTCCCCTTCCAAAGATCAACGTCTTCCCCTTGGTTTCTGAGCTACCATATTTACCTCCTTAGATGACTTTCTTTTGTTTCAGTACAAGCCAGAATCTTGCAGCATACAAGCTCACAAAGGTGATAAGATTAAAGTGCACTACCGTGTAAGTAATAACTTTCTTATTCAATGTGTTTGATTTGAATAATTAAACCAAACAGTTTTTCCCCATTCCTGTTACTATATGAAACATTTCTTTTTTGGTGTCTCATATGTGTTTAAAGTTAAATCTTCATCTACTATTGTTATTGAATTGAATAGGGCATATGAAATGTGTATATTGTAGCAGCCATGCAATTTCCTTGCTGAAGTTGCAGTTGGTGGATTCCTTGTAAACTGATTCTGTGCCAAATGGTGTATTTACACTTTGATAATTGACAATTACCAACTAAGCTATAGAATAGCATGGCCAACTAGTTAGCGCCATCGATCAACTTCAAAATTCTCAATTAGTCCTGAACATTTAACCAGCCTAAGAAATATACAGTAATGTAGTGTATAAATATCCAGTTACAGTTGTATTTAATGGTGAAAAATTGTGTAATAAGGGATTCGTTAAAGAATACTATTTAAGGAAAGAAACAAGAGTAAAATGGTCAACTAATATTGTTGAGGTATCTTGTTATACAGTGCCAAAAAGAATTAAAAGTAATAGCTGAACTTCTTAGAAAAACCCTAAATAACAATCCTCTCTTTCTCCGTTTTCTGAGTTTATGTCCCTCCTTTTTTTCCTCTAAGTTAACATTCTAAAGTTAATTCATCAATTATTAGTCAAAAGAAAAGGAAGCTTATTTAACCGACCATTGCCTCACTGCATGGTAGTTAAGATGGATGAAATTACAGTTTTTATGCCTGAATTGCAATTCTCTCATGCATGAACATTGTTAAAGCTCACTGTGGCTGTGACATGGCTGCTATGGCTGAAACTGCCTCGGAGTCTGAGGTTTAGAACAATGCTTAAGAGCAGGATCTCTTGTTCCACTATTTTATGGGTAAATGCGACCAAAGTTATTGGTGTCGCAAATTTAATATGCAATGAAGTTGTGCCCAACTCAGGTTATTTGAAACTTGCGCCTCATTCAGTGCAGGGGAGCCTAGTAAATGACAATAATTGCTTTCATTTTCCTAGAACAATGTAGTCAGCAAGGAAAGTGTAGTCTATACTAGAAGCTTATTTGTTCAGTCACTACATGTGAATTATGATGACAAATGCAGACAAACAATCAGTGATGGCATGGAGTCTTGCAAGCATGGCTTTTGAGTTTGGAGGTTTAATTATCATGTAATAATAAATAATTGATATAAAAAAAGGAAATACGGAGTGATGTAGTTGTCATAAATCTGTAGCATTGTGATATCAGTAACTTTTATTAATGTTGGTTGGTGTTTTGTATATGATCATGCTTTAACTGGGGGATTCAGAGATCTTAATCAACATCATTTGTTTGTTGGTCTGAGATTAACCTTCCAAAAAGCTTGAAGCAAGTTAATATATCAAACAAGCATTGAACAAGCATTAGAAGGTGTTGATAAAGACTATGCTTAGGTTGCAAGTTTATCATTTTTTAGATGATTCTAAAAAGATGAATTACTTGGATCCGTTGTTCCGTATAATATGCTGAAAAGATAATTGAGCAAACATGACAAATTGACAATCTTTTTAAACGCTCAAAGTGAGGGAGAACTTACCTGATTCTCAAATATAAATAGGTTACGGGTTTAGATTTGGTTTGGTAAAACCCATACCAAGAATCCTTTTTAACATTTGTCCATAGCATTGAAATGGTTGGGATAAAAGTTATTGATTCTAAGCCCTCCATAGGACAACATTATGGATAACCTTTTTCACAAAATCATTGCTGCCTTGAAGATATACTGCTGCTGTACTGTAAAATTTTTCACATTTTTTAAACTTAACTTGCAATTTTTTCCCATAAAATTTAGTTTTCTGCATAGATATTCTCGAAGTAAATTTACATGTACACATTGATTATTTATTTATCATTCTGTTATTGTGAATCATGATCTAGCAACATTCTCACCTTTTAGATTTGTCTCTGTATCTATTTAGTTGTTTTGTAGCATATCCATATTGTATCATATCACGTCAAGAGCTATATCTCTTGCATGGTTATTGGTATATTTATGTTTTTTGTGTTTATTTATTTATTTATTTTCATCTATAGACCAATTAGTTTAGTAACATTGATTCTTGAAAGATTGTATCGATGCAACATTTATCTACTACTGTAGTGCTTGGTGATAGAAAATAACATAGCTTATTTTGGTGCTCGGAACCAGCATACAGGCAAAAAATTATGTAACACTTTCTTCAGTAGTTTCGTTACTTTGTGTAACCTACATTCAGCACCTAAGGCATCTTCAATTTCTGTAATTGCACATATCCATGTTTCACTGGTCCTTTTCTTGAGAAGAAAACTACTTTGATGTCGTTCTGTGGTACTAAGGACCCTGAAGGTCTATATTGGATCGCACAACTTGTTTCTCTATTTGACTCTTTAGTCATTCTGTTTAATTTGTCAACTGCATTTTCCACCATAAGAATGTTTATTTACGTTGCAGGGAACACTCACTGATGGAAAGGTATTTGATTCAAGCTTTGAAAGAGGTGATCCCATTGAGTTTACTCTGGGCAGTGGCCAAGTAATCAAAGGTAACTGAACACTAGATACTATTATCATTTAACTCAGTTAACCATATCTAATTAACACAAGGGCACTACTTAATTATGATCTTTGTCGAAAGTGAAAAAAGAAATAAAGTAATTAATTCAGAAAATCACAAGAAAGTTGTGTGTTGGAAATGGACATTGTTGACTTTTGGTGAAAAGATGAAGCAGATATATAGGACAAACATAAACCATCTAGTAGTAGTCGGTGCCCATATGGTAAACCTAATGCACTTGTTGATGCAAGCCTGTTGGCCTGCAACACTTCCATATGGTAGTCAGAAGAAAATAAGGTGCAATTTGGTATGTAACAAATCTGGGATCTGACCTAACAGACCTTTATGTCCTGCTCTATGGCCTGCTCTTGAGCAGTTATACGGCATCAGCGTGTTGGTCCAGATTCAAAAAAATTTAAGAACCGTAAAGCTTGCTTCATGTTTCATTTGTAGTGTTGATTTACCTGACTTGAGAAGCCACAATTCAATAATATATTGCATACAGCCTATATGTTAGGTTTAGAGGCTAGAAAATCAGGATTACTTTTATTTGACCTCTTTTATGGCATATCTGACGGAGTGGAGCACTGGATATATTGCATTATTTGTAAAGTCACTTAGATTGTATAGTTTGTTCATAACATGAAGCTTATAATGAGTGTGATCCATACAATTTGTGTTGAATAGTATTCTTTCCTTCATTTTGATCCACATTATGTAATTATGTAACCTGAAAATGACCAAAGCAAACCTATTTCATTTGTGGTTTTCAATTGTTCTTATTTGGTCCTGTTCTCACTCAGAATCATAAGTGATTGAATTTGGTTAGTAATGAAGACATATTGAAGCATTTGACTTGTCAAGGGAGGCCCTTAGAGACCACTTTTGCTCAGATTTGTATTAACGTAGTTAACTAAGAGTTATACTTTGTCTTGCATCTTTCTATGTGCAGCCTTAGCTAGTCATTAGTATATGATTTTATCAGAAGTCGGTTTTATTTTTGCTTGGATTTTAGTTGAGCTCGAGTAGATGGAGATCGATTTAGATATGTTTTGACAACTAGTGAAGGTGCTTCCCTTTCCTACAGTATGAGTTTTGTTTATACGAAGAGAACGTGATTATGTGAGAGGACTTCAGTATATGCGAAAGGGTACTTATCTTTACAGTTTTTGTCCGTATCTGGACAAACGGTGTGATTTTCACGTTTAAAATAGAGAATATACAGGAACATAGGACGTAAATGGTTCCATGTGCTTAAATAGGGATTTAACTTCCCGAATTTGACTTGTTATATGGACAAGTACACAGAACAGCATTGGGTGTGTTTTTCCTGTTGGGTCAGGTGGGTGACCTACCTTACCTCAATTTACCTCTGGCATTGTATACAGAGATGCAAAATCACTTGCTTGCACCTGCCTGAAACTTGAACAAATCATGATGATCTTACTTCTCTTGACCTTTGCCTCGATACATTTGAAAATAACATTAGCATAGTAATAATCCTCTATAAAACCAAATTGGCCATCTTAACAAGTCCCTGCTAATTCAACAGTGCATTATGCAATACTTCAATCTAAGAATCCAAAGGAAGTGGGCCCTGAAGCAGCGAAAGAGAGTCTAAATAGATGTGTACATTGCAATGTGCCTGCAGAAGGAGATTGCAGATTATACCTAAAAGTAGCTTTTTAGGACAAATGATTGAAAAGGTCAACAATGTAATAGCTTACCCAGCCTTTATATTCCAAGTTTTGATCTAATCTAAGGTTGGCAAGATTTGAGCTGTGAATGAAGTTACTGTCAGAAACGTCCAAGTACGCAATTAGCAGTGAGAATGGTGGTCCGGACATCTTATAGAAACAATAATGTAAGATCGTGAGGGATTTGTATATTGGAGCCTCTACTGATTACCCTCTGAATTACCCAGCCTCATGTACCACATTTTACACGCTCTAGAAATTTATGATGGCTTTGCAAATGTCCAGGCAAACTCTATCAAGTACTAAAAGCTCATCTTGAGTAACCTCACACACTAGCAAGATGGAGTCGGGATTTAAGCATTTAGTACCAATTGCCCTCTGAATTACCCATCGTCATGTACCACAATTTTTACGCTCTAGAAAATTACGATTACTCTTGCAAATGTCCGGGCAAACTCTATCAAGTACTAAAAGCTCACTTGAGTAACCTCACGAACTAGCAAAATGGGTTGGGGATTTAAGCATTTGATTTCCTTCTACTGCTTTGTACTTGTTCTCGAGTTTGATACTATGTTTCTGTGCTCTTTCGATATCAAGATCATGTTATACTTTACTGTCTGCTGAAATATTTTCCGGACTCCATGCATATGCGTATTTAAACCCTGGATTGGATATTGTATGGACTTTACAGGGTGGGACCAAGGACTTTTGGGAATGTGTGTGGGTGAAAAGAGGAAGCTAAAGATACCTGCGAAGCTCGGCTATGGAGATCAAGGATCCCCTCCAACTATCCCAGGTAATTCCACCCTCTGCACTTTAATTTCTGTGATAGGTACATTTTGCCACGGACAACAAAGATATCATTGTGATCCTATCTTTGATGACTTGGTAGAATAAAATCTTCGTTTCTTGAGTACTAATTGAATCTGGTACTGAAACGCCAGGCGGAGCGACACTTATATTTGATACAGAGCTCGTGTCCGTAAATGGGAAGCCATCTGCTGGTGGCAATCCCAAGGAGGAAGAAAGCGATGATGATGATGATGATAGCGAACTGTAGCGAAAAATTCTCTCCCGTTGGCCTAGCTGTTAGGGAACTTTTGAGGTTCCAATTCCTAGAGATATGCTCGTCAAGAGTCTTGAAAAGTAAGTTGTGTAGGGATCGGATAAAGAAATTAACGAATGCCTGTACTCATTCAACGTGAACATTGTCTCGGACTTGTTTGAAAGTGCCTTTGCGACAATCAAATGCCAGTAGCTGATATTCGTACTTATCATTCGGACAATGGAATTGGAATTTTATTTTAAGATGTTATTCATCGAGGCAATGAAATTGGGACAATTACTCTTTTTTTTTCAAAATTATCTCATTTTTGTACAAATTTTTTTGTCCTAAACTCTAAAAATTACCTCATTCTTAACCTTGGGACAATTATAGAGAAAGTGAGATAATTTTGAAGTATTAATTTATTAAATATTTAATATATGTTAATTGTATTATAATATATAATATATCTTAATTGTATTATATTATAAAATCTTACATATAACACTAAGATAATAATATTATATAATATTATCATAATATAACATTATTATAATATCCATATTACATACCCTAGTTAATAATATTTCATTATTATAATATTAGCAATATATTATTATAATATTACTTTATATTATTGAATATATATTTTATTAGTTAGAATAAAAATATTATTATACTATATTTCATGATATAAAATATTGTATTATAATTTAGTGTTTATATATTTAATATAATAATATATTAATTATATTTTTATAAAATTTAATATGATAATATATTATTTTCTATAATAATTTATTATTTTCTATTACACTTGATTATATTCATTTATAGTCTTAAACATATTGTCAATATTGTGGTAGTTATAATTAAATAGGGATTTTTCGATATTGGTCCCTTACATCATAGCGAATTTGATATTAGTCCCTCAAATCTTCATATTTTGATATTAGTCCCTCAAATACACTTTAGTTATTGACAATGGTCCCTATGGCTAGTTGGTGTTAAAAACTAACGGAGTATTCTGTTAACTCTAACAGTGGCGCTCATTGGGACAGTTATGACCTCAATTTAAAACCCAAACCCGCATTCAATGGCATGAAACCCATTAAGAATCTCATCTTCTTCCCCCTAATGGTAATATTTTGGAACCCATAGAAGACCCACATAAAACTCAAATCTTGGCCTCCACTTCATATTTCCTTTACTCCTCGTCTAATTTAGACCCTCAAACCCTAGCTTAGACCTCAGTTTAAAAATGGAGTATTGGGGTTTATCCACGGCTGGTGGCAATAGAGGTAGTGCGGACGGAGCTAACATGAGATGTTTTTACGGGTTACAAAGCAAGATTAGGACTTGCAAGCAAGGGAAGAATAAGGGTCTACGATTCTACGGCTGCCCATAATATTGGAATTTAACATACAAGGGTTGTGGGTACTTTGTTTAGGTTGATGATAATCGGAGCTTAATGCTGAAAATGTCAAAGGATATTAGCATGTTATCTAAGAAGTTTGATGAAGTTTTAATGTGGATGAAGATTGTTTTGGTTGTGTTATGGGTGTTAGTTTTTGCTAAAATTATGTAACAAGTTTAGGAATTACGTAAAATTATGTTGAAGAATTGTATGGAATTTGAGAAGAATTAGATGTAATTTGTGAACTTTTAAAGGAATTATTGATATGTGTTTGATGTTATTTGTTCAATTTAATGTTATTTGTGGATTTTGATCATAGTTTTGCATATTGATGTGATTGCATTGATTTTGTTCACATTATTCATAAATCAATTATAAAGAAGTTGTTAACATCATAGACAAGATACATAAATCAATTATATTAAGGACAATAGAGTAAAACCAAGTTTCATATTGACTTGCAGGTATTTTACATGGCCAAATAAACACAATAACCATGTCATCACACAAACATGGTGCTACATTGATTTTGTTCACATTATACATAAACATGGACTTATAAACCTAATTTTTAATAAATTGCCGTGTCATAACTTAAACATTAACACAACGTATACAAGTGTTTCTTAGTGGACATGATCCTAACATGACAAAATATCATGTACACATTAAAACACTTGAGCCTATACCCAAAATACTATGTGAACAAGCTTTCAAAAAAAGAGAATTTTTTAAAAGAGGCTGATTTTTAAAAATATTTAGTGAAAACGATCGTTTTGCTAAATATTTAGCAAAAAAATCGACCTCTTCTAGCAATCGTTTTCGCAAAAAAAGATCGATCTTGCAGAATGTGAACTTCAAAACACACGGGACTACTAGTCCCATGTGTTTAGGGCTAACTGATAGTCCCGTGAGTTTTCAATAGCGGTAAACACAAGGCTCCAGACTAGTGTGTGAGGAATAACTCCTGCTCTAGCAATCGTTCAGTTGATTAGCTTGTCAAGCTCCTCGTCCCCTCCAATTGCCAGCTGGAGATGAAGAGGGGTTATCCTCTTCACCTTCAAGTCCTTGCTGACATTTTCGCCGAGCTCAGCACCTTTAGGAGTCAAATACTCGAGAATCGCAACAGAATACACTGATGTTGTTGCTCCGACACGGCAGTGGGCGGCGATTCTAGGCTTCAGCTGGTAGTGGATTCAACCAACGGGGAACTACAATATTTGTAGGAAACCCAAAAAAAGGTTAAATGTGTAATAGGTACATTTTTGTGAGGGTTAAATTTAGAAGGGGATGAGGAAAATTTTACATGACGTCCAGCATGAGAAGTGCGACGGACGGGCTTCTTCTTATCCTTGTCTTTGTTGGCCGCCGTCGTTTTCGTAGCCAGAAGCTGATGGAGAGGGAGATGATGTTGGTGAAACCGATGGAGAGGGCACTGCTAGTGAGGGTGAGGGGGTGAGGCGGACGAGGCAAAGGACGGAGGTAGACAACCACGCTCATGGCGGTGATGGGGAGGGCGAGCAAGAGGAGGGGCTACAGCTTGTCCAAGGTCTGGAGGCTTGGGTTTTTGAGGACGTCTTCCTAGGTAATTGATTGGAGAAATTTTGAAAACAGCCCATTTTTTAATTTTAATAGGCAAAATCGACATAAACCGGAAAATATTAGCAAAACCGACCCTTTTCGGAAGAAAAGGGTCGGTTTTGCAGCGGAGCGTCTTTTACGAAGTGCACGGGACTGCTAGTCCCGTGCACTTGGTCTTGAGCAGCGGCTGGCCTCTCTGCTTAAAAGTCGGGACTAGCAGTCCCGACTTTTAAGCAGAGAGGCCAGGCCCCAGACCAAGTGCACGGGACTAGCAGTCCCGTGCACTTGCTGTGCACACTTTTGTGCACTTTCTGGCTGCATTTCAAGCACTTCCTGTGCATACATCAACACAAACATCGACTAACAAGTCACATACTCATTTCACCACTGTATTTCATGTAGTCCCGTTGCATACATCCACACAAACTCCCACTAACAAATTACATCACATCATCACACCACACCACAAACTCATTTCAAATCAAACAAATCACATCACACCACAAACTCCCACTAACAAATCCAACATAATAACACCACAAACTCCCACTAACAAATCCAACATAATAACACCACAAACTCCCACTAACAAATCCAACATAATAACACCACAAACCCACTTAGAAATCAAACATATCACACGATATTATCGACTACAAATCCAAAAATCACATCCCTAAATAGTTTTGTAATGTATATAACCTGTAGTTTACATACATCCAAGAACTCTCCTCCTCCTCCTTTGGCTTCGTCGTCCTCCATACCGCCCTTCGACGAGTTCGTGATCCGGTTGCGTTTGTGGTTGTGACGGTCCAGCTCCATCGTCGACACGTTGGGAAGGTCCAGCTTCATCGTTATTTCTGCGTCGTCCTCGACTTTGTCGCTGTTGTCGTGTATATACGAATGACCTTACCTCCCGTCCATCATGACGATCTTCGTGAGTTCGGTGTAAGGCTTGTTGAAGCCTCTGCATTATAGCCTGATATATTGATACATGTTCATGTGCTTCGGGATTTCTATCTGCTGCGATAGATAGTTCAAAAACAAAATTTCATATTAAATTTGATATTACAGAATGTAAATTTGAGATTTAATTTTATCGTACCTGCTCGAGCCAATTCCAAGCCACGATTTGCAAGAGTTTGAACTTCATCTATTGCTGATACCTGCAAATTTTTCAACACATAAAGTACCAATAAAAATGGACTTAAATCAAAATATGAAAATACTTACTAATTCTCTCTCATCTATACCCCGGGGCACATATCCTCTTTGCGACTCAACCGGTATTGTGGTCGAATGAAGTATCCATCTTCGGGTTATGTCCCAATACCAAGTGTAGTAATCTGATTCCCGAGGAGTTGGTTCAATTTGGGTGACAATACAAAAATGTCTATCATGCCATCTGTGTATAAAAGCTTGATGCACGACCATCCTGTTTATTTGTTGGTCTCCTTTCTTTGCCTTCCTCTCTATCTTTTCAACAAACTGCGGAACATGTTGTGCAAGACCATATTGTCGAAGCACGCGGTCCGGTACATGCATTTCTACTATCTCCAAACATATAAGAGGAACTCTAGCTCTCCATACAACTTGGTATTCTGTGCATATTGGGGGTAGCTGAGGTAGAAATTGGGTGTAGGGCTCCCATTCCATCTACAATAATTTATTGCAGTTGCATATCAGAATTGGGTTTTCAGTATGTAGAAAAAAAAGCGCATGTTTTTCGGTGAGAATTACCTGAAAAATCTTCATACGGTCAAGCTCATTCCGGTAGAAATCCAATTGTCTAGCCGGGGTCTCGTCATAGCATTTTTCGACATTCCATCTACAAAAAAATGTTTGTCATACATGGTGTACCACAATGATAACTACATTAATATTCGCTACATAAAAAATACAATACCTGCATCCCAGTGGAATTTGTCCATCTAATTGTAAATGTGTGCATAGTCTCGGCTTCAAATGAAGTCTCTCCCATGCCCATACTTGCAATAAGCTTAGACACCCTTTAAGCTCACTGTTTTGCATAAGTGCCACTTTTGACATCTCTCTATATAAATACGCCAAAACGGCACTACCCCACGATTTTGTACCACATACGTCCAAGTCCTCGAGGAGTGGTAACCACCTAGCATATTCACAATATTCCAATTTATTAAAATAAACTAATTCAATGAAAAACAGATTCATATTATAAATACACACACCTCGCATGCACTTTATCTTTACTTGAATCTGGAAATAATATAGTACCAATCATGT